GGGTTTAGGGTTTAGGGTTGGCGTTGGTTGTTGTTTAGGGGCTTTCAGGGGTTTACGGGACTAGCGGTTTAGAGTTTCAGGGTTTAGAGGTTCTGGTGCTTTGGGTTTGGCGTCTGTAACCAGCACTTGAGGATTTGAGATGCGAAGGCGTCATTCTAAAGGCCAGGTTAAATGACAGGGCATTGATGGGGGAGATCCTGGATACGCAAAACCAGAAGCAAACTTCTGACCAAACGACAAACACCACAGAACGGCCAGAGGCCGACGCTACATGCGAGGGGACCGGTCTAATCCCAAACGGCATGCAAAGCCCTGAACCTTGTAGGAACCCTAAACTCTTTAAACTTTAAACCCTAGGTGCCTAAACCTTGATAAGTACGCAAAATCATGGTGTTCGATCTTATTAAAGGATCATGGGACTTGGTAACTAGTGTTATAAACAAGGTAACTATACTGATGAGTGCTTATCACCCCAATGAAGCTACTTGTAACCTTACTTTCTAAATCCCATGATCCTCCAAGTAGAGCTTGAGAAACACAACAACCCATCACACTGCCTGATATCGGGTTTAGGGCTGCTTTAGAGAACGCTCCTGTGCTCGACCTGTGCGAAACACCAAACTCCTGAACACAAGTGCTAACCGCGACACCCCGCGTTCAGGTCTTGTCGAGGGGCCGCAAAAACGAAACCCAAAAGGCCCTCACCCCGAAGGGAAAGGAATCCAGCGAACTGTAACTCCAACCCCTGGATAACCCCGAATCCACACCGTAAACCCTACATCCCAGATACGAAACCCTGCAGTAAACCCGAAAGCCTAGCCGCCTAAGCCCTTCCACTACGTACACAACCTCCCAAGCCGAGACACGCATCATGCTTACTGAAAGGCTCATGGAAAAGGCTACAGGTAAAAATTGAATTAGGATAACCCTACTTAGGGCACCTTTTAATCCAAGTATAACTAGTATAACCCTAAGTATGGTTTACGGGGTCAAGGTACTATTAGTGGCTTTCCTAAACGACCTATAAAGCGGTCTATAAGAGTGCTGCTAGAACGCCCAGAACAAGCTCAGAGATACATGTTGTCTGAGATGTGCGAACAAACGAGAAGACCAAAGCCCCAAGTCTAGAAGTACATTAGGGTTTAGGGTTTAGAAGCAAGAACTATGAACAATAATAGTAGCAGCGGTGGTGGTGGTGGTCGTCGTGGTCGTGGTCCAAGAATACCTTTAAAATCTACACCCTAAACCCTAACCCGAGCCCCTGGGCAAGCGCTCAGGAAGCTGACGCCAGCGGCCGCAGTTGTCGTAGGGAGGCCGGGACAACTCGGAATGCGTCTGCTTTTGGTTGAGAGTTTTGATTTTGGGAGCAGTAGCATTTGGGTAGTTCTCCAAATTAGGGTCCCTTGTTTGAGTCCTTTTATATAGGGGTGCCGTACTATTTGGGCGGCCCCCCTGATTTAGAGAACTACCCAATTGGGCAATCTCGAGGATTGAGGTTGAAGGCCTAGAAGCCTAAATGGCTACCAGTATCATGTTGGGGTTACTTACTATAGTCATCGACAAAAACCTTATTATAGTCATCGAAAAACACACCAAAGCCCTACTCTAATTATTCAAGCCCTATATTCTTCAATCAGTCGCCCGAAGCCTGCGAACTTGCCTTCCTTGCAAGAAGCGCGCTTCAAGCACCAAGCCCTACACCTTCCAACCCAACTCTGAGCCCTAGACTAGACCCTAAACCCCAAGTCTTAAGCCCCACCTTGCAAGGTCTCTTTGAAGGGCCCCTATAAATTCCACGGTGTCTATGAAACAAGTAGGTTATGGTAGTTTAGGTAAGCCCTACCCCCTCCAGCTGCTAAACCTAAACCCTGAACCCTAAACCCTAAACCCTAAACCCTGAACCCTAAACCCTATACGCCCTAAGCTGCTTCTCTCGGCCCTCAGTAGTTAGAAGGCTTAGGTTTTAGGGTTTAGTGTTTGGGGTTTAGGGTTTAGGGTTTAGGTTTTAGGGCTTAGAGTTTATAGGCTTTAGGGTTTGGGGTTTAGGGTTTAGGGTTTAGGGTTCAGGTTTAGGGTTTGGGGTTTGAGTATGCAAGATGCAAGAATAGAATCTGGGCGGTATGCGTAGCAGAGGCTTGAAGAGGACGATCAGGGACACTATTGCGACTGATCGGATCTTTCGAGTAATCCCGAAGTCCTAAGCCCCGAAATCCCGAAGTCCTAAGCCCCAACTTGGCAACACCTGCTGGCCCACTTCATCTTCCAATGCTGCTTGTGGCAAGTCACAGAAGACTGAAGCGTGCAAACAGAGGCAGCAAATTACTAGCACTTGCTATTAGCTGCGTTGGCCATGTTCGATGTGCCGGCTGTGCTCGGTGCGCACAGAGCCGCCACTGCACCTGAAAGTGGAGTTTGTTTCAACGCCATGCACTTGCTGGCTTCAAGAGCTCTGCTCATCTTTGATACTTCTCTCGATCTTCGCTGCAATGGCCGTCCTTTGGCGCTGTTGAGCATACTGTAAAGCACTGTAGTTGTGGTCGTCACTGGCCCCTGGGTCGGCCTTGGCTTTGAGCAAGGCCTCCACCACACCCAAGTTGTAGTTGTCGGCATAGGCGGCAATTCCGAGGGGAAGCTCCTTCTTCTGATGGGGGCCGGTCTTCATGTTCGGATTCGCCCCGTTCTCAAGGAGTGCTTCCACGAGAAACTTGTTACCCTTCCCGCATGCAATCCCCAACGGTGTGATGCCGTCCTAAGCCCATTCACGTCTTCACCATCGGCCACCAGAACCGCAACCGCCCCAACCTGCCCCTTGGAGACAGCGGTGTGTAAATCCCCTGCGGAGAGACTCCCCTCACGAACACTGCAAACCGCACCCATGAGGCACATAGCGATGAGTCGCTGCATGGAGGCCATGGACTATATCGACACACGACAGAGGATTTGTGCCAGTTTGTTTGGAAAAGATGACTTTGAGCCAAAACGATTTCGCAGGTACATGTTGGCGCACACACCTTCAGAGCAATACACGCCCTGTCATGCCCAAAGGCAACGCTGACATCTCATAAATCCTACAAGTAAGCCCTACAATATAAAGGCCTTAATGATTAGAATTGGTTTTGGTGGATTTATGGCATTTAAATATATAGTGAACACTGAGGAAGCATATTGAGAATGATTGTTCGAACGTCATCTGAAGGCAGTCTTCAGGAGAAGCTCCGAACCCAGACCCTGTGCAGCATGTACAAAGTAGATGGTCTAATGGGGGTTCCGAACATGTGACTTTGGTTGTAGACCAGGGCGTCACAGAAGCTGTGCTGTGCCGAGCCACTCCATACTCACCGATATTGCACCAGCCGCCTCCACCCAGCTGTACCCATTCCTGGCATCCAATCATTTGGCTTTTAGGGTTTAGGGATGCCTGGCATCCCATTATTTTAGGTTTAAGATTTGGGATGGTTTGGGGCTTTAATCAAGGCTGTTCAACTACCATCCCGATAATAAGATTACAGGTTGGCTGGTGGTCTGCCTTTCCCCTGTTGCGTCCCCATGAGACCTAAACCTAAACCTAGACCCTAAACCCTAAACCCTAAAACCTAAAGAAAGAGCGCTGCCGCTTATGATGCAGAGCGTTGAACCTCAAACCTCCAGCCTCTAATCCCCCGGCCTTCAATCATCAATCCCACCCTAAGCCCTAGACCCGAAACCCGAAACCCTAAACCCTGGACCCTGCACCCTAAACTCTAAACCATAAGCCCGAGACCCCAGACCCCTAAAGCCCTGAACCCTAGATTGGGCTTGGTCCTTCGGCCCGAAACCAACAGTTTCCACAAGGCTGTCAGGGGTAAGGGTTTAGGGTTTAAGGTTTTGGGTGTACGTTTTAGGTGTTTGGGCTTTGTTGGGCATGGGGACTCCACACTAAGCCCTCGGGGTGTAGGGTTTAAGGCTGTTTTGTGGTTTCGGGTTTGGCATCTGCAAGGACCCAAGGAAAATAGCACTTCCTGCGCCTCCTCCTTAGCACTGAGCTCCCCAAACTTATATCGATAAACATGGGCTGAAACAAGAAACCCGGTGCCGGTTTAGGGTTTAGGGTTTAGGTTTTAGGGTTTAGGGTGCCTAGGCTCAACAAGGTTTAGGCTATGTAGCTGTTTTGCCTTTAGGGCTTCACCGGCTCCGAAAGGATGTTGGCATAGAGCTTTGTAGTACAGGGCTTGAGGGCTTAAGGCGTCAAGAAGTTCGGGCTGTGGGGCTGTAACATGCAAGTGATCAAGTGATAAAGACGTCACAAGGTTCCCATCTTTCTTTCTACTGCTGTTAATGAGACTGTTGTAAACAGCATGTAAAACCCTGCTCAGGAGTATATTCTGATGTACGGTATATTCCTCAATTAAGTGCTTGGGGGGGTCTGTTGGGAATTTCTTCACATATGTAAAAAGTGGGCGGTGTTGTTCGTTTGATTGTTTTAAGTTTTGACCCTAAACCCTAAACCCTAAACCCGTGGATTTTGGGGTTCCAGATTAGCCATAGGGTTGGCTTTGCGGCCTGGAGCCGAGGGCTTGCGGTTTCGGCTGCGTTTAGGGTTTAGGGTTTAGGGTTTTGGGGTTTTCTCTCTAGGCTTTCGGGTTTAGGGTTGAGGGTTCCTTGGGGTCCTGGGCCTCGAGGATTTGGAAAATCGGGGGTTTAGGCAGTCGAGCGTGTCGTGGTCGTTCCCTCTGAATAGTCAGCAATCGCATCCCCCTTTATGGTCCCATAAATGTACCCCAAAAGCGCAAGTCGAATTCCTGAGGCCCCCTATATGCAACCCTAAACCCTCAAACCTAAAGCCTTGAGCCCAAAGCTCCATGCCTTAAAACCGGACCTACAAAACTCCTGATGTCGAAACGCTATACAGAGGAACCACAAACCCTCAAACCTAAAGCCTTGAGCGCAAAGCTCCATGCCTTAAAACCGGACCTACAAAACTCCTGATGTCGAAACGCTATACAGAGGAACCACCAAGGCCTTTCGAAACCCTAACTCACAAGGCCATTTACAACAACAGCAACAACTACCCTAGACCCTACTCCCTGTACCGAATTCCCTGCTCCGTAATCCCTAATCCCTAAAGTACCTAAGCCCCAAACCCTAAACCCTAAACCCTAAACCCTAAATCCTAATCCCTAAACCCGAAACCCTGCTACTCAGCCTTCTGGGAGCGGTGGGCCATCGGCTCCTTCACCCGCTTCACGATCTGGCTGCTGGCCTACCATCGGCGCAAGCGTCTTACAAGGTTAAGGGTTTAGGGTTTAGGGTTTAGGGTTTAGGGGTTTAGGGTTTAGGGGTTAGGGTTTAGGGTTTAGGGTTTAGGGTTTAGGGGTTTAGGGCTTATAAGGGCTTCTTCACTCTAAAACCCTGAAGTTCTAAGTTCTAAACCCAATGTAATGCCCTAAACCCATCAAAACAAAGTCCAAAACCCTCGACCCTAGCCCTAAACCCTGAATGGTAAGCCCTGCAAGCCCTAGACTGTATGCCCAACACCCCAATCCCGAAACCAGCCAGCCTTCGATGCTCGCTCCAGGATATGTCTGGGAGAGGGTACCTCATAGGATTGTCTCCCGAGGCTTTGTGAGGTTCCTTTATGGGCTCTCTAAAGAGTCTTCAAAAGAGTCTTCAAAAGGGTCTATAGGGGTTTCTCTAAAGATTCTTTCAAGGGTCTATAAGGGTACTATCAGGGTCTTGAGGTTATTGAAGAGGTTTAGGACGGTTTAGAGTCTGCGGTGTGTGCAAGCTTTTTTCGTGGGTCTAGGATGGTTCAGGGTTTAGGGTTTAGGGTTTAGGGTTTAGGGCTTGAGGCTTCCAAGGGATTTATAATGGTTACAGGCGGTTTCAAGAGCCTCAAAGAGGTGCTTTTTTGTCGGCTTTCGTACCGGGGACTGATTAACTAGAATAGGGTTTGGGGGAACATCAGAACTAGCTACTTCGATCTCTAGCCCCAAAAACCCCTAAACCCTAAACCCTAAACCCTAAGCCCTAACCCTAAACCCCAAACTAAACTCTAAACCCCAAACTAAACCCTAAACCCTATAAACCCTGAACTAAATCAAACAAACCGTAGCAACCACGAGAAATCGCGGCCTCGGGAATCTCTGGCTCCTGGTGCAGACGCATCGCGCGTGCGTCGCGGAGCTTCCGAACGGTCTTCACCTGTCCAAGGGTTGAGCGCTGCTTTGAGCTTGCGATTGAGGTTTAGGGTTTTTTGGAGGGGGTTGAGGGTTTAGGGTTTAGGCTTTTTTGCGATATGTACTGGACTTTCGCTCCGCACGAGAATCCCGCCCTCAGGCGTGCACAGTTTAGGGCTTAGGGTTTGAGGTTTACGATAATTCCAGCAGAGCATGCTAGCACCCTCTTCCAGTGCTTTTCGGATCCCTTGCTTAGACTCGGCGGCATACGAAATGTGAAATTGTGGAGTAGAGGAAGATGGCATGGAGACGAAGAAGAACCCAAAAAGCTGAACGGAGGGTAAGAAGGCCAGCTGCTCCAATCAGAACTGGAACAGATTCCTGAAGAGTTGAGCTGTATCGGGCTGTAGAAGCACTGGCCGGGCCACAACGAAACCGAACAAAGACAACAGAAATTGGAACCTGGAGCCAATCTCCACTATAGTTACCAAGAAATTAATCTACGAGAATACGATTTCTGGGCCGTGATGGACATATTTACTAGGACGTATCTGTGATTGCATACGAACACGAAAACAGTCTGTGATTGCATACGAGCACGCAAATGCATGCATATATGCATATGTAAAAGTATGCACTTATGTGCTGCACACCTCCACTGACTGCTCTGTATGTTGATGAACGCATGCATGGCAAAACTGCCTGAACATACTTGCATGGTATGGCCCTGCATCTGCTCAAAACATACTACAGTCATATGCAAGGCAGGGGGTACTAGGGTACTACGTCCTGGTTTGAAAGAGTGTGGAGTTTCAGTCAACCATAATTCAAAAGCATGCAGGCCCTACGTACTAGGGTCGATAGTGAAGGGACGCCCCTGAAACACAAGACTCAACAAACAAAACCGTCGTAGGACATCCTCAAATTTAAGCCTCCAACCGTTTAAAGACCCCAAACTCTTAGTTGAAAGACACATATGACTATTTGTGGGCCCCAACTCAAAAAGCCACAACGGAACCAAAGACAATTTACGAGAGTCCTTAACATGGGCTCACAACCGAGGGCGAAAGAGATACACTGGCTTTTCGATTGATAAGCTGTCGGTTTCAGGCTTTGGGGCTTAGGTTTTGGGATGGGGTTAGAGAGCCGCGCAAACAACTCCAGCAGCTCCAGTTCAATCCCAAAACGATGAATTAGAATAGAGTTTGGGGAAGTTAGTATAGTAAAGTATACTAAGGAACCCCAAAACAGCATTGGTAAGTATTCATTCGCCTACATTGTTCGCTGCTGTTGTTAGCCAACAATATCGCCTCATTGCGGATCCAGACGTCCTCTGTGCCGGGAAGCGCCGGCGACGAGGCTGCTAGGCTGGGTATGGACCTCCAGTACCTGAGAACGCCCTAAACCCTAAACCCTAAAGACCCTAAACTTCCCTAAACCCTACACCCCGGATTCGGGTGGTTACGTCGGCCTTGGTTTGGGGCGGCCTCTAAGTTCTTGAGGTAATGTAGGGGCCTAAATGACTAGAATAGGGGTTTTGGGGGCTCCTTATTATAATTCAAGTATGAAGGGCCCCAATACGCTACTCTCATTATTAAGGCCCCTAGATTAGGGACTTCGAATGATGCAGAAATCGCTTTGAGAAGCCTCCTGCTTGACCTCGTTTTGTCAGTCTTCTGCAATTGCCTCAGACTCTGACTTCCATCCCCTGCTTCTTTCAAGGGTTCCTTTAAACTTTAAGAGCAATATAACAAGGATCTTCACTGCAAGAGACCCGCCTCCCGAATCCCTACGGCTTCTTTTACCAAAGGGCGAGAAGTCGACGCAGACATCCGCACTCAGGGTTTCGGGCTTAAGGCTTGGGGTTTAGGGTGTTGGGGTTCAGTGTTTAGAGTTTAGGGTTTAGGGTTTAGGGTTTAGGGGTTTAGGGTTTAGGGTTCAGTGTTTAGGGTTTAGGGTTTAGGGTTTAGGGTAAGGATGGCATTTGAGTCCAGGGGTATGCACGGCACAAGTGTTTATCATGCACTTGTCAAGTTCTCATGATCGTTGGGGCGGGGGACCGGGCGGGATGAGGGAGATGGGAGGGAGGACGGTTTTCAACCAGGGCCCATTTTCGGAACCCTTATCATCCTGTCCCAAGTGGAAGGCCTATGGAAATCAACTCTAACTGAAACCCTAAACCCCAAAACCCTAAACCCTAAACCCTACCTAAACCCTAAACCCTAAACCCCTTCCGGGGTTTTGAGTTTAGGGCTTAGGACCTAAGGTCCCACACCCAGAACACAAAATCTTCGAGGTCTTGCGTTGGTAGGGTCCTGGGCGACATGATCACTACAAATAGCTGTCGGGGTTCTCTGTTACATAACGTTATATGTATACACACATACATCTATATATATATATATACATGCATGTTTATATCTGTATATACATTTATATATATATATATATATATATATACATATGCATATGTATGTATACATATACATGTACATACATACATATATATATATATACACATAAACATGCATGGGCGAGTGTGCCGATACTGATACATTCCAGAGCCTCGCAAGAATGCAAACCCTCGACCTACATAAACCCCAAACCCTAGTAGCTCTAAGTGACCCGACATGGCCCTGAGACTCGCCCGCATTACCCTAAACCCTATTTTAGTACGATTAGGGGAACCCATTACCCTGAACCCTATTTTGGTACGCTTACAGGAACCCTACTACAGTCCCCGTTATTACGGTTCACTTTTGCAAGGGTCCCTATTAGGTGTGTTTTCCTGTGGCCACGGCATTTCCTCAAGCTTGCTGTCGTGCTTACCTCTAGACCTGGCTGGGATCAAGGCTTCAGGATCTTAGGGTTTAGGGTGTAGGATGCCCAGTAACCTGGGAATAAAAAGGGCTCCCTTTTGGCTTTGGGTAGGTTTATAAGGAACCTAAGATCACAAAAAGGGGAAAAGGGTCCACTGGGAGACCTAGTTAGGGTTTAGGGCTTAGAGTTTAGGGTTACGGAGGGGCGTGGGGTTAGTGGCTCAAGGGTTTAACGGCTTAGGGTTTAAGTGGTTGCGGGGCTTGGCGATTTAGGGGTACAAGGGTCTTTTGGTTTATGGAAACCTCACTCTGATCAAACCCTGCGAGAAAGCAAGCCCTGAACAACAGCTCGGAAGCCTCTACTAAACCCACCTAGTAGCCCTTATAGAACCCCCTGAAGTTCAAATTAGAGGAACCCCATACCACCCTTAACTTACCATGAAGACCCCGAAACTGCTAGTTTTTTCAGAGTTTTCTGAGGATGCCGGGCTTGAACTTTCCTTTTAGGAGCCTGAGCACTCCAGATCCGGACGTGTTTCGGGTTTGGGGCGAAGGGCCGTTTAGGGTTCCTATGGTTTAGGGTTTAGGATTTAGGGTTTAGGGTTTAGGGTTTAGGGTTTAGGGTTTAGGGTTTAGGGTTTAGGGTTTAGGGGGGCATGTCTTCTTTCACGAGGCAGCTGCTACTTCTAAGGAGAAGCAGAAATCCGGACGTGGAGAGATGATGATTTGAAGCTCCAGGTCTTATAGAAACCTCAAAATGTAGGGGGCTTTGATGATTGGAATAGGGTTTTTGAATATATTATGCTCTAGATATAGGGAATCATATTTACAAATCTTCCGCCCCCTGTCTGAAGGCTCTGGTTCCTGGCTCCGAGACCCTAAACCCTAAACCCCAGCGATCTCCAAAGAAAAACACCCTAAACTCCCGAAGCTCTACACCGGTGAACCACCAGGTGCTCGCTGCAGACCGCTGCTCTCAAGATAGGTCTGCAAAATCGGACACGACTTTAGGCCCGAGGCCCGAACCACCAGCCTGTCGGGATAGTGTCCAAGAGCTGTTTAGGGTTTAGAGCACACCACCAGGATGAGGTCCCGCAACAGCAGCCGGATCTCTGGAGTTCGGGGACGATCACCGGCCACCACATCTGCCCGGGCACTTCGGATCGGGCTGATCGGCCCTGTGCTCGGCTGACTCCCTGAGCATTGCCCAGCAGTGGATCTGCGACTCGCCTCTGTAAGCTTTGCAACTCTTTTTCGGGTCATAGGAGACAATGGCAATCTGGTAGGCGGTCCTGAACCCTAAACCGTAACGGCTTAACATAGGAGCCTTACAAATAGAAAAAGGTTTTGGGGGGGGGGGGGGCCCAATTTTACTATAACGATAATGAGGAACCCCCAACTTAGTATTGGTACTTACTTAGGCCCCTACATCAGGGTTCAGGGTTTAGGGGTAAACCCCCAGACCATACATCTAAATCCTATAACCCTATAAACCTTATAAACCCTAT